CCGGAACGCTCTACCGGCGGTTGTGACTACAGCGCCATCTGTGGAGACTTTTAAGCGCAAGCTGGACAATCATGCAGAAATGCATGGTTTGTGTCTCAATGGCTTATCCTCTTAAAATTTGAAACCACACTGTCAATGGATAAGCATACAAGCTAAATCCCCACTACCCGTTCTGTCTTCTCTCACTGTACCGACTACTCTATCTTTTCCTTCGGTCACCTTTATTATTTCACCTTTATATTTCACTTATCTCAACCTATATTATCTACACTACAACCTATTATTATTACTATTCTGCTTTTACGACTACACCGAATGATAACTACAAACACTTTCGGTGTGACAGGGAAGGTGGTAAGGGAGGGGGTTGCCTCATGTACTTTCTGAATGCACTTACTGTATCACAGCTAGAAAATAGTACACTTAACATGCCTGAGACTCTATGGGTTAACTTACACTTAAATAACGCAATGGTATTAATTGGATGCATCTACAGACCACCTGGCACCATTAGTAATTACGAGACCCAACTTATTAATACTCTAGAACAATTATCCACCCTACACTGCGATCATAAGATCCTATGTGGAGACTTTAACTTACCAGAAATCAACTGGGAAATACCCACAGGTCCAACTAAACTTGATAAGTTCTTAGGCACACTGGATATACTTGGCTGGAAGCAGACCGTCACAACCCCTACAAGAGGTAATAACGTACTAGACTTAATCTTCTGCCACAATATAAGTCCCCTTTCTACCCTAGTAGGTTCTGAGTTTTCAGGGAGTGACCACAAAACAGTGCTGTGTGCACTGCCACTTCCGTTAAGTAGCAATGCAACCCATACCCCTACTTCACAACAAATAACTTACAGGAACTACAGTAAGGCAGACTGGACTCTAGTAAAATCAATGCTAAGATCCTCAGAATGGAGTGAGTACTTCTATACTGATAGCCTCTCGAAAGCTCTAGACATCTTTTACTATAACTCCAACACATGCTTAGATGCTGTCATCCCATTTCAACCACTAAAGTTTTCCCCACATAGAAAGTCATTCATAAAGCCAAAGGATCGTAGGAAACTTAAAAGACTGTCAACAAGTTACTTCAGACGACACGACTTTAGTACACTAGGGTCAATACTTAGTACTCTTAGCTCCATCTCGCAAGCTCATAACTTGCGTATGAGAAATGAAGAATGCACCGCACTAGCCAGCACCACCAGAGTAGGTGCTCTCACAAAAATCCTAAAGAAACGAATGAATCGCCAAAGCCACAAAATTTCTCCCCTTATAAACAAGAGCAAACCATACAGCAACCATGCAGACATGTGTGAACTGTTTAACGAGACGTTTGCAGCTAACTACCTTAAGCCCACAAGTCCACTTCTCGGTTTACAACCCACAATAGAACTCCCTTCATCATCAACGCTGAAACAAATCAGTACAGTTCATTTCACTTATTCTAATATTAACCAAGCCATTAATACTCTTAAAAGCTCTAGTAGCACTGGTTTTGACGGTATACCATCGTATTTTTATAAACACGGTGGTTCTGACATTTCCGTTTTATTACTTAAGATTTTTACAATGTCCCTAGAAAGCCAAACCTATCCAGATAAATGGAAAACCACATTTATAGTACCCAAACACAAATCCGGATCAAAAACTGAAGTCAACAACTATAGGCCAATCAATATTACACCCATAGTATCTAGAATCATTGAAAGAATAGTTAAAGATGATATCCTCAAACATATGCTCAGCTGCAATATTCTAAATCCAAACCAACATGGATTCCTAAAATCCAGATCATGCATGACATGTCACCTTGACTTCTTTAACTATATAACTAGCAGCCGGGACAAACAACAACTAGTACTAGTCATCTACTTCGACATTTCCAAAGACTTTGACCGCGTTGACCACTTGCTTCTAATAAATAAGCTGAACTCCTTAGGAATACGTAACCCATTATTAGGATGGATTGAATCATTCCTTAACAATAGGTCCCAAGTAGTTAAACTGGGGTCTGTAAATTCTAAGCCTAGTCCAGTCACTTCTGGAGTAGTTCAAGGTAGCGTCTTAGGCCCCCTCTTATTCACTCTATATGTCAACGACATATGCAGCTGTTTCTCACTTGGCAAACCATTCATCTTTGCAGATGATCTTAAAGTAGCTTACACATTCCACTGTGATGACTTAGGGTACTTTCAGAAAGCTGTTCAGGAAGAACTAGATCGAGTAACTGCATGGTCCTCCACATGGAACCTAAAATTCAACCTTAAAAAATGTGGTTGGATCTGTTTCGGTGCACCCTCAATAAATATTAAACTGGTACTTGAATCTCTTGACTTGCCTAAACTCCAAAGTGTTGCTGACCTAGGACTCAGGTACTCTAGTGACTTGACATTTTCTGAGCAAGTGGCGACACAGACGCGTAAATCGAGGATGCTCTTAGGATGCATACTCAGGAATTTCCACAGCTACGAAGCGAAACTATTATTATATAAAACTTGTGTCAGACCACTACTTGAATATTGCCCATTTATTCTCAGCAGCACTCGCGTAAGTGACAAACTTAAAATAGAAAGTGTCCAACGATACGTCACGTCTAAACTACTAGGATTTGATTGCGAAAAGGACCACACATCAAGGTGTATAATTCTAGGTATCGACCCACTCTGGATGAGACGACTGAGCATTAACCTAACATTCTTCTTTAAAACATTGCATAAAATATCATTCTCAGACAGTAAGGAGATACAGTTCTCACCGGAAGGCTCTTACGACCTTCGTAACCAAACGTGCACAGTATCTAGGAAAAACTGTAAGACAACACTCCGTGCAAACTTCTTCACAGTCATGTACTCTAAGATCTGGAACAGTTTACCCCTAGAAATAAGGACCTGTCACTCTACTATAACCTTCAAACGCTTGCTATATAAACTGCTTCATCCAAATGACTATGCCAATCAGACCGCACCACTTATTTCTAAAAGGTATCAGCTATTAGAACACTATAACGCCTAGACTCAAAACTAAATATTACGACACTAAATAAACCTTAAGACTTCGCAAAAATACATGAAAGAACAACTAGATTATAGGTAGCGTTTACTATAAAATGATATACATTTATATATACATAAAATATTAATGTTTTCTTCATTTTTACATACTTTATCTTTCTGCTATTCTGCTGCTGAGATTACTCTTCTATATACCTCCTGGTCGAGGTCGAACAACCCAACACCTAAACTGAAATGACCATTTAAGTAAATTCAAACCCAAATTCCATGAACGATCCGATGCAACCACTTGAAAACGCTGGCTAACATTCTGTACAAGGAGTATTCTTGACCTGATATAAGGAAACAACTGGTTTTCAAGCAGTTTTCAATGAATTACTCAACTTACATGTACAGTCTGCCATGCTGACACAAATGGCGCAAATGGATAGTTCTAGAATTGACCCCGGCCCCATTTGATGCAGTAAAACAATCTAACATGACCTTATCTAATTTTCGTATCAAAGGTCAAATTTCTTTCCTTTTATAATACTACGATAAGACTGCTGACAAAAATGGAATAAATACATTATTGACTGAAAATAATACATCAATAAACTTTATCTCACGGATGCTGTTCACAACAAAGTTATATAGGAGAATTGACTTCAAGCTTTATTTTTCCCAGATATTTGTATTACATTCATCTGATGTCTGGGTTTTTTGTTAATGCGAAGACAATATTTCTATATCTCTTTATGTGTTACACAGACAGACTATTTTGCAGACTGTTCCGACTGACTCTAATGTCAGAAAGAACAAACAAACTGTAAATTCAACATACATCGAAACATGTGTAATTTATATAATAACTTATGCATGCATGTACAATTGGTATGTTCCTGCATAAACAGGAGTAAATAAAATAAATATACACTAGAACCTATTAATATTACTATTCTGCTTTTACGACTACACCGAATGACCGACGGGTGTTAGGTCAAGCTCCACTCACGGCAGCAACTCAGTCCTAACATACTACATACTACAAACCACATCTTGACCAATCCTCGCCCCACTCCTCTTGGAGTCTACCAGAGCTAAAGCAGTCGAGTGGCGGGACTTACTACGCACAAGTTCACCGAAGATCTGTAACCCCTACCTTGCAATCAAGAAGCGAGCTCAAAGAAATCACTGGTTTATACTAGCTCGTAATCAGGATATTGGATATTGGAAGGCAGAAGTAGGGATTGTACATACTTCTTTTGTACACAAAGGCTTAAAGTCATGAATTGCCCAGGCCTCAGCTGTCTTTAGAAGTCTGTAACGAAGAAAACGCGGGAAGTTAGCATGGATTCTATATATGATCTTAAAATCATGTTCAGGGCTGACAGAGTGACAGAAGTCGATCAGGTGTTCCGAAATAGAACTTCGCACACACTTCCTTTCTCCCTTGTAAAACCATGCTGGAATATGTTCTCGTATCCGTGTGGAAAGCGTCCCCTGACTCCGGCCAGTGTACCTTGCTCCACAAGAGCAGGTGAACTGATGGATGCACATGGAGGCGGCCAGATGGGGGAGCTTATCTTTTACAGAGGCAGAGAACAACTTGCGGCTAGTGAACGTCATATGTAATTTTGCTGCACAGAATGTCTTACTGACTGATTTACAGAGACGATTTCTGAGCATGTCTGAAGCTTGATCACCTTTGAATTCCAAGTTCATGAATAAGGTTTTCTTTGGAACTGTGTCGGTGACCAGTTTAGACTGCTTATCTTTCATGTTACTGTCAATAAATCGGTTAGGGTAACCGTTTTCTGCGAGCGTGGCTTTTAAGAAGTCAAGTTTACAGGACTGATTTGGGCGACTTAAACTGAATCGTTCAAGAAGGGTTTGAAAAAGCACACAAATTAACTAGAAAAGGATTAACATAGGCTCTAAGCCTTCTATTTCAATTTACAAATCTGAATCTAAATATTAACGCGGTGTGCACAAATTACAAGGTCATGACGCCGTGAAAACAGCATTACACGGTCACGGCACGAGTTTTCTTTGTGACTTTGGCATGGTGTAGTTCGGTTAGTTAGTACCGAGGAGTTTTTATTTGCTTTTGAAAATGGTCTTTGGAGACTCAGTATTCTGGTAACTGTATGAAATCCAACTTCGTAATATTGCGAATCCCATGCAGTCCGAGCCATATTACCTCAATAACGCTTGAGTTTCCTCTTCAGTAGTGCTTATTCGTGCGTCTCTCAGCAAAGTATTTCTGCGTTCCATTAAGTGTAACATTCCTTCCGTGGAAGCGGTTGTACATTTCTGTTAGTTCCTTGATTAATAATAATCCAGAAGTGTAAGCCTTTCGATGGTATTTATTGCAGTAAATATGACGAAACATTGACGTCTTTTTACATTGTTTCGTTACATATTCTTCGCAGGACTTGGGAATATATCTTTTGTTAACGATGACTTGTTGGCCTAACGGTGGACCCAGCATATTTCATGTGTTTCCTTTTATACGTATCATATCAAAATGTGTTATTACATGCGGAAATTAATTTGAAAAGTGAAAGTTGTATATATTCAGCTGGTGTACTTTCAAGGTGAATGGAATTGTCATGTGCACTGAATGTATCATTTCTGAAAGTATTATAATACAAGGCTTGCTGTTGGGGTTGTTGGTTCTATGGTGTTGGTATCACACATTTAAGATTCGGCGTGTTTAATGATATTAGCTCACATTAATAATGATCCCTGAGTATTTTAATTCGAGATCACACCGTATTTTCATTTCTTGGAGTGGTCTTTTTTCAGACATGACGTGTGCCACAGTTTATCTGCCCTTGCATGTACCAAGGTTAAAGTAAATACAATCCATAACAGTTGTATGAAAGGCTCGTTTTCGTCCTCTTTACTTTTTTACACGGTGAAATAATTTTGATGACACGCAACATAAGGAAACCTTTATCAGTGGTGTTTTGGTTTGGGCTTAAGTTTCCAGTTAGTAGGTCGTCTTTTCGATTCCCCCCCCCCCCATTCGCTTATGTTAGAATAACGACAGTGCGTCACAAGCTCTAACATAATAAGCGTGGTTTATCACTTACTCTACGAGCATGCTCCTGATTGCTGAGCAGATACGGCACAAAATTCCATATTTTCTCCTATGTTGTCTCTAACTCCTCTGTGATCGTGGGTGGGTTTAAACCTGTTATTGAGAATATTAGAGCATCACCGCTTGGTTTCCGAACGCGATATTCTGAGACTGGGATCACTGAGCAGTAGTGTTCGACCCTATGTTGGTATCATGTATGCGTGAAAATCAACTATTTCCTTAATTATAGGTCATTTTTCCTTTTCTCGGAGCTTCAGTGCAATACGTTTCATCTTATATAGCTGAATATATCACCAGCGAAAACATTACTCCTCACAAATTGCCTTTTGGTGGTTGCGGCATACATTTTCATCAATTTCCTAAAGAATTGTCCACCGCATATTGAGAGGTTTAATTATTTTCATTTGATTTCATAGCTGAAACATTTTGTTTGTAAGTCGAGATTTGTTTTCAATCAAGCAGTCACACCTCACCTAAGTTGTCGTTTTAATGAGCATTTATGTCAGTAGTTACATGAAATAAGCAAAATATCTCCCTCACCCAATATGTTTGTAATTTTTCTCTCAATATTATGGAATAGTTGATGGATAGAAATGATATCACCACTTGTTTATATTAGTAGTTAACAGTCCACGTTTAGGTGTCCAAACTGTAATGTATATTGGGAGAATTCTCCAGTCAGTATACTTTCTGATCTATTTTTCCAGGTTATGATTACTGCAGAAAGTGAAGAGTGATTATTAGTCCGTATAATGATTATTAAGATCAATGAAACATGAAGAAATAAGAACGAAAAACAAATTTCTCTTGTTGATGTTCACTGATTAACTTAATGACGCAAAGCTTGGCACAAAAGTGCATCATTTAGAGTTACCATATTTCGGGAAAGCATACTAGAGGAAAGAAATGTAATGAACCTACAAATGATAAAAATGTAAGACAGAGAGATCAATAAAAGTACTCAGAATCTGCATGATAGTAAGTGAATGCACCTGTGCTACTATAACGATTTTGAGACATGTCATCAACAGTCTCAAAACATTGATTCTCGGAATCTCCAGGTCCCAGCAAAGCAATCTAAACCTCTATACTTAGTTCATATTAATAGTCAATGACCTCATTAACTTGTTTCGTAGTTTCGGATGACTATCTTTAAATTCTGTCCAGCTTAATTCTACTTCCTCGTACGTTACTCATCGAGTTAGGTGGTGGCTCAGCAGGCGCAGCACATGTCGCCACCATTTCACAAACTCGTCTTATTTTCCATCGTATTGCCCTCTCGACGTTTGTTAGTTTGTTTTATTCCCTTAAAGTTTTATACTTATTATGGTTCGTATCATGTATACCATTGTATTTGGCTATTATATTTGTATGTGTTTAGTTGTAACGGATTCCAACAGATCAGTGATATTCAAAATAAATAATCCCAGTTATGAATTCGCGCTTTATTAACCCGGATAATGAAGAGAAACTAACTTTTGATCTTTCAGAAGAAGTTCCTGAATTCAATGAAGATGGAGGTTGTAGCAGCTTACTTCTGCAGTTCTCTACATCTGATTCTTTTAATTCGGTTGAACAGCAACGTCAACAGCTTCCTGTTTTTGCCAAAAGAAGTCAATTTCTCTACTTGCTTGAAAATTCAAGGTTGTCATAACCATTTACCTTCTAAAATGTCGTAACCGTTGTTTTATATATACATACATATGTAATCTTTTATGCTTTAAAGAGTAACTTCTCCAGCCAGTGCCTCTACGTCCAAGCTTCTGTGTATTTTGATTTATTTAGTGCTAGTTTCTCAAGGTCGGAAACTTCATGCTATTTGTGGAAATGAGGTTAAATTAAATATTTATTCTAAACTCTTCATCTTGATAATGAGGAACTATATGCTTTCTAAATTGCACTTTTAAGGCAGTATGTGATATCGTTTTTAGAAAGTCATTTCTAGGGCAAAGTATCAAAAACAATAGATTTTAACCAAGATGGTGTCAAACAGGTGTTTTAAATACATCCTAGAAATTGGTGTCAGTTATAATGTATTCATCGCGCTCCACGCCCTCCAGTGGAACCCGAATGGGAAATGATGAGTCGAGAGTCCGAGATTGACATGGAGGCGATCTTGCGAGGAGACGTTCGAAAATTATGGGCAATAGTGGGACCAGCTAAAGAGAACCGCAGAAAACAGTAAAGTGGAAACGTGCTGTTGAAGCCCTGTGTTTCACTCGGAACCTAAGGAAGCAATAATAGTAATAATAATTTATTAAGCTTGTAAAATGTTACATAGATCATTTTACCCGAGTCAGTGAAATGCCTAAAAACATTTTTGTTGTATTAGGATAATAAGATAGAAAATATTTGTAACAGTTAATACTGACTGCTACATGTAACTATCCTGTCTGATTACCTGTATGCAAGAACAGAATGGGAATGGGAATAGGTAATCGCTACAAATCCTGCTAGACTGACAAATATTTTATCGGTTGGATGCCTGTCTGCAGCATTTGGACTAGTGCTGTTAGTAGTAAATGTCATGCCGCTTTTGTCGTTAGAATCTGGTTGCCATATTGATGGCACTAACCATATTGCATACTTTGTCTTGAGCGCTTTAGTTTCCGAAAAATGTAGAGTTTTACTTGGCTGTATAATTGTTTCTTCGATTTGTGTATTTTATTTTAATTCTGTTCAAACAAGATATTAGTGACATTTTCCGTATAGTTTTGTTGCTTTTAAAGGTCGGAAGATATAAGCAGTCACAAATCTTTTAACATAAATTAGTAAAGTTAAAGTTTTTCAAGTGTTCATTAAGGTTTTACAACATCTATTCCTTGAACTATGAATAATGTAATCCAAATTGTGTTTTAATCAATCTAACTTCAGAGTTTTAATTGTCACTGGAGAAACTGGCAGTGGGAAATCGACTCAACTACCTCAATATGTTTATGAAGCTGGTTGGTTGAATCTGAAATCCAGTAATCTTCATCCATCTGGAGTTACAATGGCTGTGACTCAGCCTCGACGTGTAGCTGCTCTGACTTTAGCTACTCGTGTGGCTGAAGAAAAGAATTGGCAGATCGGTAAACAAGTTGGATATATAATACGTTTTGAGGTAATTTAACTTCATTTTTCTTGTATTTGTGTCTCATTATGTGCAGTTCACTGTGTACTTTATGAAAAACAGTCATCTGAAATGGGAGGTTATGTAGTACTGGATGTGTTTCACTCAGATATCCTAATAGGGTTATTTTATTTATGATTAGTGCTATTTGGTGATAACTGAAAGTATGGTGTCATTTATTTCAGTAATTTGAGTATAATACCACTTAGTGTTGTTCAGCAGATGTTAGCTAGCAGTGGAATTCAAAATACATTCTTCGTCTTATTCGGTACTTATCAACCGGATGTGCCTGTAGCCAACCAGTGGTAGTTTTCTGACTACTAACCATCTATTATCCACCAGTCCTAGTGAAAAAAAAAGAAATTGACAAGTTTTGGTGAATTATACCACTTATGTTATTCACAGTTAGATCAGCTAATTTTAATTTTTGATTGAATTCACTATTCTAGATGGAATGCGTCGGTGGTTCACTGGCATAGTACTTGCTAACCACACACGTGGCCCGGGGTTCGATCCTTGACTGGCACACTCCTAAACCTCGCTTAGCCGGTAGTAGACTCAGTAAGGAGGGAGAGAGGGCTGGAAGCGAGGTTAGTGGACCCATCCGGTAAAAAAATACAACTGCTACTAAAACTTCAAAACTCAAGATTGAAGTCCTGTGTTTCCCTCGGACCTCGAAGGATTAAAATAAATAAGAACAATTCTAGATAGCACGGAAAATACGTTTTACAATATGTGTTTATCTTACTACTCTAAGCGACACAATATTGTATGGAACAGATTTAATTTGAGCAAAACATACGTGGTGCCTTTGGAAAGCATGTTTCAGATATTATTAGCTTTAAGGCTAGTTTAATAAATCGTTTAACTTGGATTCGAGTGTGTAGATTTAGTGTCCAATAATAAGCATTTAATACCAATATATAATATATCTGCACATAAAGAAAAGGGCTGAACAATGTTAAAATAAGCATCCCTCTTTTCTCTTTCTTTTTTTGAATTAATTTTAACTTTTATCACCTTTTTCGATTTCTATTCAAATTAGGAATGTTGGACACCAGGTTCAACTGTCATCTCATACCTTACTGAAGGTATGATGATACAAGAATTATTACGTGATCCACTTTTAACTCGTTTCCGTGTAATAATGTTAGACGAAGTCCATGAAAGATCTCTACAAACTGATATTCTCTTGGGACTTATTAAAAAAGTGTTACGAAAACGACCATATGATTTAAGAGTTATCATTTCTTCGGCTACTATGGAGGCTGAAAAGTATGTTTTTATTCATTTGATTAATAGTTTATGCTTTCTAAGTATTTATATGCATTGTTCCATAATGAGTAGTTTTTTTTTTTCTAATGGTCAGAAATTTGTCAATGTTCCTTATCAAATGGTTTTAAGCTAAATCCCTCTAAATGTCAGATTGTTAATTTCACTTTGAGCTATAAGCGTGATTTACATCACATCATTTTAATTTCTAGATTGATATTTCATCTAACCTTCTAGGTAACGAAGTTAAGATGATCTGGTATTACTCACCAGTCTCTATGTTTACAAATTGTTAATTCTTGTATTCTATCTATTCTTCTCTATTACTCCCCAATGGTCTTTCCTAGGCTGCTTAAAAAAGACTTTGTTACATTGCGAGGGACGAATTGGGTTACCACTAAACTAACTTATTAATACTGTTGTAGATAGACATTTGAATTCATGCAAGTAATTAGCGAATATCATCTTGTCGAACTCGAAGCATCCTCTGTATACACAACGCTCCCTTCCATCTTATCACAGAAGACTGGAAGCAATTATTGAAAGTTTTATTCTTTGATGACTAAGTATAAAAACTCTACAATACCTTATTTGTCATGCATTCTATGTGATCAGAAAGGTGTAGGACATGACACTACTAACTTACTACGGAATACCAAGTAAACGGCCCTTTTTATTTCGTTCTTTCATTGATATATTATTGTTAATATTTTCACTTAAATTCTAACTTTATTACTATTCCCTTGTGTTCCTAGTAGAACACAGAGCTTCAACAATGCATCTCCACTCTCTTCTGTTTCCTGCCGTTCTCTTCAGCTGGGTCCACGACTGACCAAAATCTCATCTCTTCCTCACACGATCTCTTCCATGTCACCCTAAAACGACCCACTCGTCGCTTCCCATTTGGATTCCACTCGAGTAATGGCCTGGCGTGCGATGTCATTCGTCGGCCTCCTCAATGTATGCCCGATACATCTCCACTTTCTCCTACATATCTGTTGAGAGATCGGCTCTAATATTGATATTGACTACTAATCTAGAATATTCTATGTATATAAACATATATATATACATATATATATATATATATAATTGTAGAGTGAGAAGAGGAATTTATCGAAAAGGATATTCTTTGCTCAATCATTTTGTCTTTTCGAAATTATCAGTGACATTAAAAAGTGGCGAAACTTGCTGAAAGAATCGTAAATGATAAAAGTAAAAATCCTTAAACACTTCCAGACTGTAGCACTTAGTCTGTCTACTCCGTTGACCGCTTCTCTATGTTGAATTACTGGTTATTGAGGAAAATTTGGAAATCTGAACCGTAGCAGGGTTCGAAAAGAGGTAGCCTATGGGTTATTATTGATATCCGCCGAACTAACAGAATCCGTGCAACCTGGTACCATGTAGCATTGATTTGTTACTCTTCAGGTGATATATAGCGGATATATATATATGTTCGGTGGTAGTCATCTATGAAAGATTTTGATATATGACTTATTGGCCTAAGCATTTAATTTTCAACCATTGGGTCTTGGGTTCGAGTCTCGCTCCGCCTACTTCAACCTGGCCAACTGAATGATATCAATAACCCTAACGCAACGTTTGACTCATAACCCCTAGGTACGTGAAAAGTCTGTCCCAGGGGGAACTGAATCCACACCCAATCCAAATAATACTTAAATTCAGAGATATTGTCATTATTCTTCCCCATCATACGAGTTGACTTCATTAATGATTATATTACTGAGGATGTCGGTGGTACAGTGGTTAGGACTCTCGCCGACCATGCACATGGTTCGGGGTTCGATCCCCCGCCGATGCACATCTGATATCTATGGTCGGCCTGCAAAATTTGGGCTACCGATATCCATGCTAAAAATTCCATACTTGTACTGAAAATACGATGTGGCATCAAACTGTAATCAAAAATAAAAATAAAATAAAAAATAGATATCTTTTTCTCAGTTTTTTTTAAAGCAGAACGAGTCTTTGCAGTGAGAGTACAACTCAACAGATGTTTTCTTTTTCCCCGTTAATCTCATCTTTTGGTATATTCTATTCTTTCAGATTTGTAGAATATTTTTCAAAAATGAAACTACCCGAAAGTGAAGACAATAAACAAACACTAAAGTTAACTCCAGTATCTCATTTAAGTGTTGAAGGACGTCAATATCCTGTTTCTGTATTTTATTCCATTGATCCTGTTCCGTGTTATTTGACTGCAGCAAAAGAAACAGTTTTTCGAATACATGAAACTAAACCTTTAGGAGGTGATATACTTATCTTTGTTACAGGTAAGTAAGTATTGTCATGCATAGGATGTTTGCTTTAGGGTACAAATAAGTTGTTTTTTGACTGGGTAAGGTGATTTTTTTACTTAAATCACATGGGAATTCATACTTTTGTAAACATCAGATAGTTATGGTAACTTTGCCCACCTATTATCATCCTTTCATGTGTATAATATTTGAAGGTGTGTCAGCATGTCTTTTTTACGGGTTCCACCACCAGCTGACATCAGTTAGAGAACCACTGGAAAACCAGGGAGTACTGGATATCTGTTTCGTCTTGGTTTGGGACTCTTCATTAGCGTGTATACCGGAGTTCGAACTCCAGGACCTTCAGGTTATAAGGTGAACTCGTTGACCAGCCAGCCACTAGAACCCAACCCAATGGTCTATGAATTCCAGTTCCTGTCATCACTTACCGGCTTGCTGGTGTAACCATTCAAATCCTTACAAGCCAACACTGGATAATATCTGTTTTTAAGTCTCATCACTTAAAAAAAAAATTTTTGTTTCTCGAGATATAACATCGTAAAATTTGGCTGTCTAAAGGGGCTTTCGAACAGAAATTTGACAAAGGAAGGTAGTAAAGGCCTATCAGAATGTTGAGTACTATTACCACTAGAAGAATGCGTACGATATTTTCAATATATAATGAAGCAATCAGTGAGTCTGTTACCAGTTTTGCATATCTTCTAAGTATAAGTACAAATATATGGGAGACGGTGTAAATCCTTCTGAATGTATAATGTGAAGTAGCCTATGTGCTAATCTGAATTTCACAATTATGAAGGTTATGTTCTGTTTTACAAACTTTCGTTATCATTGTGTAAAGCGCTCACAAAGCAACTCGTAGATTTTTTTTCCTTCACGTTCCCCAGTGGAACATAGGGCTTCAAGCTAGTGGCTGGAAGTTTCTGTGGCAGTGTTTATTTTACAGGTTGGGGTTGCTAGCCTCATGTCCAACCTTTCCTCTTCACCAGCATTATTTCTGGTTTAGCGAGGTAAAGGAGTGCGTCGGTGGCCGGGGATCGAACCCCGGACCATGTGCATGGTCGGCGAGCGCCCTAACCGCTATGCCACCGACGCCAACTCGTAGATTATAACATGGTTATATTATCTCTTATGTTTCGTTGACATAACATACCAAGTTATACGCCGATTGTTATAAGTATCAGCTATTTTATTCCAGTCTACAGATTATATTTTGATTATAACTCTCATATATAAATGCATCTATTTTTTGGTTTTGGTGCTGATACTGGTACTCAAACTCCTTATGATTTTCAACAGTATGATGAAGTTCATAGCCATTGCTCCATAGTTGGAGACAATTGATTATAATAAAGCTTTGGAACTAGGTCTCCTGCTTATTGACCAACTAGGTTTTTATCTGGTTACAGGATTTCATCATGAGCTGACATTGGTTAGAGAACCATTGGTAAACCTGGGAGTACTAGGTAGTCAGCTGTTTCGTCCTAGTTTGGGACTCTTCAGCAGTACGCGCCCACCGGGATTCTAACCGAGGACCTTTTGCTTACAAGGTGGGCTCGTAGACCATTAAGTCACTGGTACCCGATCCAATGGCCTATGAATTCTAACTTCTGTTTTGAGCTGAAAAAAAGTTAATATGGATTCCAGGACACCAGTACCGTTTTTGGTTAGTCTAATTAACAATCAGTTAATTTAGATTGTGGTTCCTCTTCGTAAGGATCTAAATTAATTTCATCAGTTAGAGAGTTGTTGTAAACCAGGTACTTCTGTTGAGCTGTTTTGATCCTAGTTCAGGACATCTGGCCAGTACTCCCTGATTTCCGATAATTCTCTAACTAATGTTGGTTCGTGATGAAATTCAACATTGAAATCAGTTACGTTGTGTTTATCTCATTCATTCGACTAGATATGTATTTGAATGCAAACAGCGAAAACCTTTAGGGGGCAGTTTATTGTGTTTTGATTGGTAATCACCTACCAATTGGAATACACTTTAATAGGAGCATTTATAATAACTATCTCACTATAGCAAATCAAATTCTCCCCTTCATTCAAATTGTTTTACTCATAGGTAATTAGGATTCTGGTACTTTTATGTTAATGGGAGTTGAAATACATAAAAGCTTATTTTACCCTGAACCTCAGATGACTTACAAAGTTTGATATCCTGACTTAACTTTTTAGTTATTTAACTCTAGGTAAATTGCGTCAGTGGTTCATTCGTAGAATGCTCACCAACTACTCACGTATTCCGGAGTTCGACTCCCATTCGAAGCACTCCTAAACCTCACCTATTCTGCTAAATGGCAGTAAGTCTGCAGGTTTGGCTCTAGGCTGGCAAACCCCTCCCCGTAAGTACAAAATCAGAGTTGCTGGAAATTCAGGTATATATATATATATAATTAGTAAATATGGTTGGTGCAAATCAATAAGTAGCTAGTGTCATTCCTAGTCAAATTATAATGATTTCGAGTTTCTCTATATTTGTCTTCTAAAGGAAGGTTAATTGCGATGCACACATTTAATCCCCTTAAAATGTAATCTGGAGTAGTACATGTCAATTTGATCTACTGCTGCTGGTGGTGAAATAGTGGTTTTCACCTCGTTGTAGAGGATTTTGGTGAGCTGTGCTTAGATCTCATTTTGAGGGCAACATTAAGAATGGTTTCTTGTTTTTCTTTATCCTCTTATTATTTAAATACATTCTTGTTACAGAATGGAAGGCATGATGTGCTACATGCAGTGATCCGAAAACAGTGTGAAGAAGAGAGATGAATTGGCTGGCATGTGGATGGGTGACTCAACTGGACGAGTAAGCATATTTGTCATATTCAAAAGGAAAAGCAAGGAGCTAGTCGCGTGTCCACTACTGATTTTAATCCTAATCCATAACAAATAACGTCTCGAGACTCTGAATCGAAATGTCGCTCATACCCCCGTGTCCCATCAAATGCCAGCCGAACTAGACTACTTCTCATCTCACCCTGGCACTTCGTGGGCTTATCACCTCCTCACTTTCCCCATTCAACCTCAGGATTGGCAAACAATGAATGATACGGCGAGTACTAGAAGAACTTTAGTAGCACATCTCCAGGCTGGGGAAAACCGTATCCAAATATTACCTCATTTAATGTGAAATAGTCTCCATCACTTAAAAACACACTGTCAATCCTTGATATAAGAATAAAACTTGGGCACTGTGGTAGAGTGTAATTCCATTATGGGTAAATAAAAATAAAATTTACCCATAATGGAATCACACTGTCAATCCCCAGAACTACATACAGAGTGACTTTAGTGATTCCAAGAGCATATCTTCTATCATTCAATGTTTGATGGATGTTCTTATATCTCGAAAGTAATACTGGGATAGATGTGTTTGAGCTCATATAGCGTTTTTCTGTTTAAATAGTGATACTACTCGTTAGTAACTAGTTTTTTTCAGTTATATTTTTCGTCATGCTAATTGTCTGTTTCTTTGCAACCCTATTGCAATTGGGTTGATTAATGCCATTAAGTACTGTATTTTATATTTTGTTTTATAGTTTTACCACCTCACCATTAGTTTACTAATCTGTATTCAACAAGCGCGGGAAATGAAATGACTCTAACTTATTCAAATTATAGGATTTGTGGGGATTTTGGACTAATTTTAATTGTTAGATTTTTGTCACGGAGCGACGTCGACAGTTAAAGAGATCATTGAAAACCAGGAAGTATTGCACAGCTGTTTCGCCTAAATGATGTTGGTTCGTGATGAAAATCTAATAACCGGAATCAATCCAAAATCCTTACAAATCCTATAATCTCAATATCAATCACCAGCCCACTGATGGCTACTGGATGGATTTCTTGAGACTGTCGTGGGAAGGCGTGACTAGTGGGGTCCACCATTTCAAGGTGAGGTAGGTGCTTATTTAAGGTATTGGTGATGGCAGCGCCATACCACTATTTGATAAAGTCAGAATTCAGGCGTCAATGAGTTCCAGCACATATGGCCGAATGGTCCGTGAGCTTGGTCTTGTAACCTGGAGTTCCTGGGTTCAGTCTTTGAGGGAGACGAGTCGTACGTACTCACTGTTGAAGCGTACCAAAATGGAGTGAAACAGCTGTCCAGTACTCCTTGATTTTCAATGTTTTCCAATGTTGGCTCGTAGCGAAGACCTAACAATTGAAACTAATAGATTCTCTTGGCTTTAAATAACTTTAGGTACACTTAATTGTTTTAGATTGAAAGGTATTATAATAGATCTCTGAGGATACCAACACTCTGTTACTTTGGCTACCATTTTTCATTTGCTTTACATTGTATGTTTGAGCAGTTTCATGAATTCCTACTGGATATAAGACTTCGAATCCATCTTTAATCTTTTGACACGTATTTCCACATATTCTCTTTCCACTATTTTCCAAATTAATTTTATTAACTATATTTAAAGCATGAAATATCATATAGTGACTGTATTTTGTATTTGCTCCTAGAAATCAACGTTTTGTTAACTAAAGTGGTAGTATTCAAAAGAGCTTTGTATTCTTGAAAGGTTTGTCTTTGATTTTCTTTGCATTTCGAGTAGAACATAGGACTCCAGGCTTATGAGTTTTGAAGTTTCAGTAGCACTAGTGTTTTGTTTTACGGGGTTGAGTTGCCCAACCTTCCTTCTTCCCAGTTTTGACTACAGGTTAGGCAAGATTTAGAAGTGTATCGGTCGGGAACCAAACGCAGACAACATGCGCGATTGACAAGCACTTTACCCCTGAACCACCAACTCACATTCTTGAAAGGTTAATAAAATTTTATAGACATATACATATGGTTGTACTAGTTGAATTCTAGATATCAATTGACAACCGTATGCGTTATTGCAAGGTATAAAAGTTTTATTACATGTCAACCTGAGACCGAGCACTTCGGTCCAATCAATCGACGGGATAATTTAAATTGAATTCAATAATTGGTTGAATGCTTTTTAACCGCACTCTATCTACATTGATCTTCTCACAAGATGTGTAGAGTT